GGAATGGGGGGAACAGTAAGTTGGGTTTCACAGTTTTGGAGTAGAGAGAGGTCTATATTGAGGTTATTTGTAGCCCGTGTGAGGAAAGATTGTGAGTGATTGGTTGGGAAGCGGGGGATATGTGGGTTAACTGTTGGGTTAATTTTTGATCTGTATGGGTGTGTCTGGTGAGCAGTGGTACAGAGTGACAGATAGTTGGCACACATTATGTCTCATCTGGTGGCTAAGCCTGTGAGGCCCGTTTCCCCGGAAAGTGCGAGGATAGGAGGGGAAACATTGTGCCACATATAAGTCGCATGGCATTGTTTTGTATGACCTTGAGGCTCTGTAGGTTAGTAGGCGCAGCCGACGCATATGCTTGGCAACAATTGTCTAGTTGGCTGCAAATGTAGGTTGTATAGAAACGGAGCAAGATTTTATGGTGTACTCCCCAGGTGGTGTCAGTGAGGACTTTAAGTATAACGAGTCGGGGTTGTGTCGTCTGTTTTAAGATGTTGAATGTGTACCTTCCAGGTAAGTAAGGGGGAGTCTAAACGCATGTCAAGGTATTTATGTTCTCGTACGTGTTGGATGGGAGTGTTGTGTATTGTGAGGGTGGGTAGATAAAGTAGTATTCTTTTAGTGAAAATCTGATAACAGGTTTTGGTAGTACTAACTTGAAGGCCCCATTGTTGTGTCCAATCTATGAGGTGGTCAAGTGCTGTTTGCATTGTTGAGACTATTAGGTAAGGCAGTGTCTAAATAATACAATGTTAAGTCGTTGGCGTACGCTGAGAGGTGAACAGGATGGGTGTTAGGCAAATCTGCTAAGAATGCAGCAAATAGGGTTGGGCTTTGTATGGAGCCTTGCGGGACACCCGTTTGTATTGGAATGCCATCGGAAAACTCGCCTTGCATATAGACTTTGGAGGTCCTGTTCATAAGATAGGACTGTAACTATAGAAGTAATCTTCCCTGTACGCCTAAACGTGCAAGCTGTGCCAAGAGGCAAGTATCAAAAGGTCCTTCAAGGTCTAGGTAGAGAACAATACAAAATTTACTGCTTCTGAGAGAGGTGGGGATTTCATGTTCAAGGCAGAGTATTTGATCAAGCGCATTGCGGTTGAAATCCAGCTTGGAGTGACGGTATAATATCATTATACTCGAGGTATCATTGGAGGCAAGTATGTACTAGCCTTTCCATGACTTTACTGAGACATGATAGTAAAGAGATAGGTCTGTATGACACAGGTTGGGATGGGTCTTTCCCTAGTTTAAGGAAAGGAGGAATAATACTGGTCTGCCATTGTGAGGGAATATTTCCACGAGTCCAGCATAGGTTGTAATAGTTTAGAAGAGTGCTATGTGCAGTCGATGGAAGATATTTGATGAGTTCATATGGAATTCCATCCTCTCCAGGTGCCTTGTCAATAGGTAGGCGGTTTAAGACTAATCATAGCTCGCTTAAGGTGTATATGTTGTCGATGCCGAGCATGGGCAGCGGTATGGCACGGTCAATTTCTTGTCTGAGGGAGAGTTCTTGGGCATGAAGGAATGGTGTTAAGAGGGTAACTTTGAGGCATTCAGCAAGAACGTTTGCACGCTCCTGAGGCGTTTGACAGAGTGAATCGTTGATCATCGGGGGGAACGAAGGAATGTTGGGTGACCTTTAATGCTGTTAAATGTAGCCCAGATTTTTTAGTGTGGCGTGTTGGGTGTGAGGCTATCACAGAATGTTGCCCATGATGCTCGCTTTGCTGACAGTATGGTTTTTTGGCCGCTGCTGTGACCTGCTGGAGATTGACCCAGTTCTGTAGAGAGGGTTGACGTCTTTGTTTTTGGATGGCTCGTCGGCGTAAAGCGACTGTTCGTGCACATTCCGCGTTCCACCACAGTTTAAGTGGTTTGTCAGACCTATGTCTTGAAGTTTTCCTGAACATTTGGGTGGCTGCAGAATTCATGGCTGAGGTGATTGTGGACTGTCGCATGTTAGGGTCTACGTCGTCTGTATCTGGGAGACACAATATCAGCCCATTTTTCTTATCTAGGTTCTTAATGTTCCACTTGGGGAGCATTAGAGGTTGGGTTGGTGGCTGAAAGTTAGTAAATTTTATAATGAGGGGGGTTTGTGGTCACTACCAATATCTGGTCCAGTATGAAACTGCAGATCATGTTGAAAGTGTGCCGAGCCAAAGCAGATGTCAAGTGAGGCTTCATAATTGGTTCTGCAGTTAAAGTAAGTTGCAAGGTAGGGCGGCGAAAGAAGAATATATGGTGTAGTAATTACCTAAGTGTAGTTACAGGATGAGAGCTACACTCATGGTGTCCCGTCTTCCCAGCACTCTTTGTCATATAACGCTTTGAAACTACTGTCTAAGTAGTTGTACAGATCAGTGCCTGCAGTATTTTGGGTACCTCTACTCCATGTGGGGTGGTTAGCATTGAGATCACCTGTAACAATGATTGGGTGTCGTAATTGGTTAAGATAGAATTCCAGCTCATTTAAGTTTATTGTGCCACCTGGGTTGTATATACCCAGAAAGGATATGTGTGTACCATTGTAAGGTATTAGGCATGCTAGAACTTCTAGTTTACCATTCACAAAATACATTAGTGTTACGGGTTTACATGTCATATTACTTCGTGTTAGAAGGAAAATACCACCACCCTCCCATGCAGTTGGATCTGTCCAGTCTCTGCATCTGAAAGTTTTTTAATACAGGATTTTGTTTGGGAGTGAGCCAGGATTCGGTGATGAATGCTAAGTCCGGTTTGGATGAGTAGAGGAATTGTTTAAGTTCTGTGAGGAATGTTTTAACGCTTTTTGCGTTCCAAGTCATGAAGGTTAGGGGAGCCATTTAGGATGTTTGGGTTGTGGATGTGTCTGTTTTCTTTGGTGCGCCAATAGTGGTACGAGTTGGATACCTAGATGTGGATGGTGGCTGTGTCTTACTCTTGGTACTGGTGGTTGGGGTTTGTGGCACGTCAGCCTGGGGAGTGGTTTTGGTGAGGCACGCTAAGGAGGTAATTAGGAGTTTTTCCATCATCTGATCAAACGATATGTCCAGCAATGGTAGGTTTATTTGGGCGGATGTCAGTGTCTGTAGCTGTTGATGGGGTGTCTGTTGGGTCAGCCTCAGGGGTGGGTTGTGTTACTTGAGCAAAAAATTTAGTTAGATGTTGGTCCAGCGTCTTTTCTAGTGCAATTTTTGATGCGAGTGACAAGAGTTTCAACAATATCATTTTCGATGCGAGTGACAAGAGTTTCAACTATATCAGGACTCGGTTGTGCATTTTGTGGGAGATGGTTGCTAAGATAATTTTGGTGCGTCCGAGTAATAGAGAGAGAGAGACATATCGGAGAAAAAAAAAGGTGGTTATGTATATTACTTCCCTGCTCTTAGCTATACAATGAAGCTAAGGTAAGCAAAGGGCAGAGAAAGCACCCCCAAGACGACCCTGGGGTTGCGGGATTGTCGGAGACAGGGATATCCAGTACACACGAAGGTTGTGGTTGAGTGTGAGGTAGAGGTTGGTGATGGGCTGAGGAAGGTTGTTTCAATGCACTGCTGTATAACAGGTTGGTGGTAGGGAAAACCTTAATTTTCGCTGCTGCTGCTATGTAAGAAGGACATTGTTTAAATGTAATGTCTTGATCGCCACCACAGTTTGAGCAGGTGAGTGTATCCGATGCACAGTTTTGTGTGTAGTGGGAACCAGAGCATTTCCCACATTTAATGCCTTTAGTGCAGCCTTTTGAGGTATGGTTAAAACCTTTACATATAAATATTAGGTGGGATGTGGTACATACACCTCTAGTTTATGGAGGAAGCCGTTTAACCAAATCCTATCAGGGGTAACGTAGTCTAGAAAAGTAAGCAGGGCGGTGCCTGTATCACTCAGTTCTCCGTTCGTCGCATAAATTTTTGACTTCATAGAGTGGGATGCCATCCGTCTGGAGTTGTGCCTTGATGCCGTCTGTGCTGATGTCTGCAACATGTCGGATTACATATTCTGCTAATCGGTCTCCTAGTGGTTTGTAGTACTCAACTTTGTATCCGCAGATGTCAGTAATGTCGGAAAGCTCTAGTTCTGCACTGTGTTTGTGATCCACTGCGATCAAATTCTTTAGTTTATTTGTTCTGATATCGTGCACGCTGATCCCAATTTTGGGGGGAATGCCATTATATAGGATATTTTGTGCCCTGCTATTTTGAAGAATACTCTCATCTTCGCCATCAAAGGCAATGATAAAAGTGTTTGCAAATCAGAAGAGCTTGGCCTACCTTGGTTGAGCGGTGGGTGTTGATACTGAGGCCGCGTGGTGCCAGCATTGTTTCTGTTTACCTCTGTAAAATAGCGGCGCTTCGCCTCCAATCTGTTTGCCTTGCTGTGGTGTTTGCTGTCCAGGAAATTGCCATCTGGCTCCTCTTCTAGGACTGGATGATGTTCAAGATCCAATTGTGTGGTATGCAACAGTGGTTTTCCAACATCCTCAAAGGTATTGTCAATGGTTGTAGGAGAGACGCCGCGTGCACCTCCAGCAGCTGCCATGACGCCGGCGACTCCCTGGGAACTCACTCAAAACACACACAATCACGACCCAGTCCAATACGCCTAGTAACATGTGGCCTTTTGTTCTCGTATTGACATCCCGAGTCATATTGGGCACCTTTTGAATATTTGGCAAAAATGATGGTGCTACAGTGTCTTCGTGGTTTGGTGCATTCTGTTGATAATTATTTGTCTGGAAATAGTTTTCCTGCAATTTATTTTATTTTAATCTGGTGAAATGCATGGCAATGATTGCCTTTTGCATACAACAGTTTGTAATAATTAATTTCTATGTTTTGTTTAAAATTCAATTATAAGTTTAGGGAGGATGTGTTTGTGTACATTATTTATCCAAGTTAAGAAGATTTCATATTTTCTAAATGCCTGTATGGTAAGGAAATGTTGCATTATTTGTTTAATCCATTTTTGGATAACTCAAAATATATACTTAATGTTTAATTTTCTAGGTTGTTCCAGCATGCTTCTTGGCCCCACTGAAAACTACATTTGATTTGAATGATGCACAGACTATCTTGGCTCTACACGAGTCAGTGATGTGCCTGCAATGTGTGTACAAGAAAAGAGGTGAAGAATTGCTTTCATATTTGCGCTCGGAATATTTACCAAAAATGGAACTATCGCCAGAACTCATTAATGAGTATTGTCAGGCCCTCATATCCGATGCAAAATTCTTCAGAAATTATAGCAAGTTATTTTTTCAGCGAGCAAAGTCATGAAATGGGGATATTAACTTAAATTTTGTCAAGTGTGTAATTTTGTTTTGGTATTTAAAATTGTGTATTGGTCAGATTTGTACTGTAAATTGTATGCACAATATTGTTAATAGAAAATGTTAATGCTAAAATGATACCTCTCTAGTCATATCTGCTGAAACCCAGTAGTGGATGACTATTATGTCCTAAATGACTGAAAGCATTGGTGGTTTTTAATTTGTATGGAAACGGTTTTCTCAAATTTCCCGATTAAATATAAAGAGCTACAGTGCCATGTTCACCCACTTTAATACATGTAACATTTCTATTCAGAATGTTTCTTAAAATTGCTTATTAACTTACAGCGAGTCTACATATATTATGTAGTTCTGGAAAATAAATTATTCTATGATAATTAATTATATACCATTTTCTACTATCCTGACCTTGACCTTACTGCTCTATACATTGAACCACCACTGGGATATTACACAGCTTTGTTATACTCGTATGATATTACGAAACCTTTTAGCACTCTTTTTCTGCACAGAAAACCAACCTCCCCATTTTCTAGTAGCTGTGCATCCATCTGAAATTGTTTCCAGACACAGATTGAGGGTTTTGAAATTTGCCATTAGGCTCTTAGTCTCGTTTAGGCATTGCTAATAATGTGTTAATTTTCTTGAAATTATTCATTGATATATTAAAAATGCAAAGTCACTTGTACTGATTAGGTTTAATTTTTATTACACATTTATATTTTGTCTCTGGAGACAAATTGAAAATTATGTAAAAGCTTGTTGAAAGTTTTCAGAAAAGCTAACCTTGTGGCGAGGAAGGTCACAAGCATCATTACTATATGTACGAGAATATCGGCTTGCTTTTATACTGTATTATAAACTATTGCTAATAAAGAAAAGTGAACACATGGCAAATTTGTTTACACTCAAGACCAAAAGCTCAGTCATAAGGGATGTGTTTAACTGTGATAGGCAGATATGATTAGACTGCTCAAAGGTCTGAGAATGACTCATAGCTCATATTTATTTGAAATATTATAAAGTAATTTAAATCTATATTTATGATTTAGAGGCTATATAACTGGAGTAAATTTATGGGCGCTTTTTCCTGGCTGTCGAGACTTCTGTACATGTAAATTTTATTGCATGAATAATTGCTTAACATTCTGCATTTTCCTTTTCTTCATTTTGTCATCAGATCATTGCTCATTAATGTATTGTCCATTCCATCATACATAATATGTAAAACATTTCCAAGAATACCAAATCACTTGCATGTTAAATTTTGTCTTGTACATTAAAACATGTTACAATACTGTATTAAGTTTTAGTGCAATGTATTGAAGCATTGCTTAACCACCACATGTATCATCTGGTACGAACTAACAGCAGACGTATTCCTTCATATGTATATTTTTCACGAGGAGCCATGTCATTTTTCTGTACAATCTTACATTCCTCCAGGCTTGGCTTTCTTTTCATTGCAATCAAGATGGTGTTTTTATAAGTGCCTTATGTTTGTGGGGAAATTATATTACTCTGATTAAGAATAAATGCTGCAATCACAATGGACTCCGTCATAATTGCTATCACAATTACTGCATCATTTAGCCTTTGCTTACATGTTTTTCCTGAAAAAAACTAGATACACATTCACAATTACTGATATATTCTCGGGTGAAGCATTTGTTTAAAAAGTGCTTTGAATTAGGTTTATACAATGTGATTGTCCAATATTGGTCAAGGTATATATTTATCAAACTTCATCTGGAAATGTTTTATAAAATAAAATATGATTTAACTATCTAATTATTATTTTCCTAATTTTATAATTAAAAATTAAAATTATATTTTCTGGGGAGCTTCTTGTGGCTTCCTATCTGCTCTGATATGTACCTCCCATCAGTCACAGAGTTCAATTGGCCAAGCGGGCATCACGATGTGGCCACCTCATGGGTAGGGTGCGGTGGCACTTGTGGTAACATTTTTAGAAATTTATTCTTGTCTGCTACCACCAAGGAAGGCACCCAGGTGGTGCCTACTTTAACCACTGCACTGCGTAACGCAGTGCATAACGCACCTTGAGGCGTTAGGTCGGTGCTGTCATAGGTATAGTATACAATTCAAAACTGGCGTGTGGTAATGTGGGTACGAAATGGATGCCCAAGGCCTCCAGTGATCGTCCGCCATTTTGAAAAAAATCCCAGCATGCCCCAGGGCCCGGGGGGAGCCTCAGTTACAAGGCAGCAACCATGTCTGGCTCATCCTCTACGAGCTCCAGGTCCATGGGCCTGCAACATAATCCTCAGATTTGACAAAGATGACGATTTGGACTACAATTCCTGAAAAAGACCTAACACGGATCGGACTTGAGTGATGGAGACACTGTGGTGGACAATGTCGCGAGTGTGTATAATACACGTGCTTTGCCCAGCCTGCCTCGCTACCCTGGGTCAACACTCCTTCAGTTACCATCACCATGTGTCCCCTGATGTGAGTTTATTTGGTGATACTACATGTGATAAGCTATTTTCGGGCTTCAGTGACATAGGCTCCAATACAAACTGCACTGACAAACAGAGTATTGTACAGGCAACTATGGTGTTTCTAGGCAGGGTTTTGCTGCCTAATGCTTGCCCCGGCAGCACGCTGAGGCAAGTGCCAGCATGTCACGTGGCCCGAGGACAAAGACGACAGTGTGCCCTCGACATCAGCTATTCGTGATAGGCCTATACTATGCAAAACACTCGTCTCCTGGCATACCCATACGTAGCTGTAGCACAGGACGATGGAGCCGTGTTGTTGGGGCCTGTGCTGGTGGTGCTCGTGGTGGTGTTGGCACCAAAACCAAAACGACTGGTGTACTGCAAGCGTGGCATGATTGTGAGAATTTTGTCCCATAAATTCCAACATTTAATGATATCGATGTTTGTGTGACACCCTTATTCTCCTATACTTCTGATATGGCTGAAATTGAATATTTTATGGCATATTTTGATAAGGTCATGGACCATCTCTTTGCAGACACAAACGGATACGCTCACTCCTTCACTGATTCTGGCGTTTTACCTGCCTACAGGTAATACTTTTCTGCAAGATACGTTGGAAAAACACGACTGATGAAGTGTATGTTTTTTTTTTAGCGTTGAGCATGATGATGAGACATTCAGATAAACACATGATCCAGGATTATTGGAGCAAAGACAGCCTTGTTCCAGCCCGTGTTCAACAGATATACGTCAAATGATAGGTTCCTGCTGCCTCTTAGGTGTCTGCACTTTGAGAACAATGCTAATGAAGAGAGAGACAACAGACTGTGGAAGGTGCTGAAGGTATTTAGTGACGTGAGAAGAAAGTTCCATGAATATTTTGTATCAGGACGAAATGTCGTGATTAATGAATTGCTAGTCCTCTTCAAGTGACGTGTGGCATTCATGCAGTACATTCCATCAAAGCAGCACAGACTTGGACTCAAGTTTTTCGTGCTATGTGACTGCAAAACTGGTATGGTCATGGACATGATACTGTACTGTATTCAGGTACGGACGTTGACATATCGGGTCAAGATCCACACGGCTCGATCAAAGCCCAACATGTACTGAATGTTAAATGGCTTTCTGTTCCCCGACACAATGATTTAAAAGAAGGAGCCAAGCGGAGGGGAAGGGAGTTATATGGAGAAAGCGCCAAGCCATTACGACTATATAGCCAAACCTGGGAGACTACGTAGCAATACATATGAAATGAAATGGTGCATATATTTCATATACAGTATACGAATATTCATGTATGTATGTATATATTACATACACAAAAGTTCAGCAATCATCTGGAGAGGAGCAGCTTCCTTACACACCACCAACATGGCTTTAGGGATGGTAAATCATGCCTCACAGGTTTAATAGAATTCTATGACCAGGAGACAAAATTAGGCAAGAAAGAGAAGGGTGGGCAGACTGCATATTGAGAGAGATGTGCACCCATTGTGTCAACACTTGCATCAGAGGAGCTCCAGCATATTTCAGCAGTCCTAAGTATTTTAAGTACAGGTTGATGATAGCGAGTGGTGTCCCAAGGAACAAAGGTGTTGTGCTTTGAGAAATAAGTGATAACACGAATGTGCCAAGGGAAGTGAAAAAATTGGATGAGAAAAAGTTGCCCTAGTGTTAACAGTGCAGATGAAGACATTCAAGATAGCTGCCGGCCAGAAAGAAAATAAAACAGAGCTAGAGTTTGGAGGGTTTCAATGAAGAAAAGACCATCAAATGACCAGAATAATCATAGAGTGCTAAATATCACTAAGGATGCCAATATGACAACAGAAACCCATAAGGCGAAAAATATCAAAGTATCTGATTCACCAAGAATTCTATCGAGGGACAAGTGACCGCAAGGGAGGGTCGGAAAGCAGGACACAGGCTCATCTTGGAAGTCAGGACATTCAACAAGGTACGACTGTAAGAGGGACAATGCAGTTTGGACAATAATGAGCAGGGCGGCTAAATTAAGTGTCCGTGAGTTAAGCGTGTATGGCCAATACGCAACCTTGACAGAGCCGTTTCCCACCGCTGGTTACGATGGTAGGAAGAAGGCCACAGGGACACACTACTCTTAAATTAAGATTACCCAGTTTGTTACCAGTAACGGAAGACCAACAACCCTGCCAATGGGCAAGGATGGAAGAACGAATAAATGGGTAAAAGTCGGAATAAGGAATATACGGGAGATGGGACAAGTGCAGATAGCTTCCTTAGCGGCAGCATCCGCACACTTATTTAAAGAGACACCAATATGTCCGAGAACCCAGCAAAACTACTGTCTTAAATCTACTGGAGATAAGAAACAGCCAATGTTGAATCTCGACTACCACAGGATGGACTGGATTAAAGGACTCAAGAGCCATGAAGGCACTGAGAGTCAACTACAACCACAAAGGAGGATTGACAGCGAGAAAGCAGTAGACAAAGAGCATAGAGAATAGCATAAAGTTCTGCCATGAAAATGCTAGTCTCCGAAGGCAGGCGACGCATACAGGTGTGGTCAGGAAAAACAACAGAGTAGCCTACACCGTCTGCAGACTTAGACCCATTGGTGAAGATGGAAATGGAGTGGGAGTGTGAAGAAAAATGTTCAAGGAAAAGGCGTTTCAGAAGGGAAAAGTAAAAAGCTGTAAGAGGGGTAAAAAGCTTTAGTGATATGGGTCAGGGATTTACAAAATTTAGGAAGGGGGACCCTCCACAGGGACAAGGACAGAACAACACAAGAAATATTGGTAATACTAACTGAAAGCGAATTTTGCAGGCGGGAGAACCGGACAGAAAGAGCGAGGTGGTGAAGGGGGACAGGAACTACAGGAGAGATAAAAGTCAAAGCACGACACAGGTGAGATTGAGGGTTTTGTAAGGACCACGAAAGGTAACGAAGACAGTAGCGATCACAGTGGTCCTGGAGAGACAGGAAGCCAGTTTCAACATAAAAGCTGAGGGCAGGAGTCGAACGAAAGGCACCAGAGCTGAGGCAAAACCCAGTATAGTGCAGAGTATCAAGACGGCGAAGTGTAGAAGGAGCAGCAGACGAGTAAGAAGGGTAACCATAATCGAGTTTAGACAGTACAAGAGCGGAATGTAAGGAGAGGTGGAAAGGACGAGGAGAGGTAGAACGCAACATGCAAGCATAAGATATGCCACTGAAATGGTTGAGACGGTGGATTTGGCATCTACCTTCGGGAAAAGACAAACACACACGGCGTTTCAAGTTGAGGACGGCTTCCTCAAGTCTGTAGTGTATACATGCGAGAAAGAAGGTAGGGTGAGCCTCACAGCAATTGAGGCGGCAAGCCTGGGGAAAAGAGCATTCTGTCATAGAGTGACCATCGTCCCCACACATGTGGCATATAGACAGTATTTGTGCATTTGAAGGCACCATGCCTGAACTTCCAGCACTTATGCCAAGTCTGGGAGAGGGAATGTACTCCTGAATGGAGCATCTGGCAGCAGCAAGAATTGTAGAAGATGGAAGGGTCTTACTATCAAAGGTGATTTTCAGAACTCAAAGGGGCTAATGGCAACGACCACGAAGGGGGTCGAGTGAACGGGTCCACCTGGAGGACAGAATGTCCTTGGGCTTTAAGGATATGTTTAATATCCTTGTGGCAGTCTTTTAGGTCCCTAACACCAGTTGTGACATGGTGCGGGAGAACAGTGCCAACACTGGCATTTAACTGAGCATTTTTGGAGACCCGAAGAGGGGTCTCCCCAATGCTGGACAATGTGGCTAAATGGGTAGCTGCATCCTGAGAAGGAGCAGTGACGACACGTGTACCGAGACGGGTGGGGGTTAAAAGTAACAGGGGTATCTACCGACTCAACAAGGTGTTTATGGAGGGAGAAATCATCAAGTGTAAAATCCAAATGGTTGAGATAAAAGTATTTAGCCCCCGAAGCAGGACCAAACAAGACTTGGTACGTATTAGTATGGGAAGCGATCATGCGAGTGCGGCCATGGTGGGGACAGCATTAACACTTTCGCGCTATCGGCGCTCAAAAAAAAACAATACCCCAGATGCTTTCGGCACTTCGCGCGCCTACGCGGTAAGACCGAAAAAGTGTACACTCTTTTGACTGTCCTGACAATAATTGAAGGCGCACGTATTTAAATTTGGTATCACTGTGTTCGCAATGAAATTGTCTATAAGAGCATACCTATAAAATGCCACCCAAGCATAAGGAGTATCAACACCAAATAAAAAACTATGCAGATCACTCGCCGAGAGCGCCAAACAGCAACAAAATGTTTCCACTCTCTTAATGGTTGCGAAGCCTACAGTTGTCCTACATCGCTAATTTTGGTATCATTGGAATCGCAATAAATTCTCTACACGGACATATGCATATGAATGTTTAATATAGGTAATTGCCCACCCGCAAGAGTGTGTGAAGTGGAGAGTAGTTAGCCGCGAGCGCACTGGCGAAAACACAGGGGGGAAATCATGCTTGGAAAGTTTATACGTTTCCTGACCCTACTTTTCTATGTACGTATTTCTTTTTTATACCAATGTGTTCGCAATAAAATTTTCTATAAGATGAAATGTATAACATTTGTACAAAGCATGTGTAAGAGAAGCGCCAAATATAGAACCACGTCGCTCAGTATGCGTTCGCGGCAGAAACGAACGCATTGTTTTCGTTCGTTTGATGTTTGTCATGTTTATACTTGTTGAAACATTTTATAATTTGTATGACAGTGATCGCAGTAAAATTCCCTACACAGACATATACATAACATATACAAATATTTCCCACGTGTTGGATATATCAACGGCTAAAGGGAACCCACTGCCACACGCTCTCCACACCCCCAAACATACTTTGTGTATTTTTTTTTTTTACTCATAGAAGTTTGTGATATAATATTCATTCTGGTACCAAAAAATTCGCAAATAAATTCTCTACAAAACGTATATAATCTGAGAGTAGCCCCATCCATTTCGGTTAAAAAATGGAATTTATAGAAATATTTTTTCGATGGACGAGAAAAGTAGGCTGTTATGCGGAATCGTAAGAAAAAACGGCGACGAGTTATCTCTAATATAAAGCGCGAAAGTGTTAAGAACCCCCAGAGAGAGGGGTTAAAAGGCGCAGTAGTCACAATGAGAGACGGAGCCGTGCCAGGGGATGAGGTGGTCGCCACTGAGGGTTTGGGGCTCGACCCTACCACAGGAGGGAGGGGAGGGGAGGTTAGTAGTCTGATCTGGGCCCAATGTAGCAGGGGCTACAGAGCCCGACCTTCCATCACAGTTCGACTCGGGGGCCTGGTCACCCATCTCATGAGCCTGGGTAAGAGAGGTCGTGTCAGTATCCATATGTCATGTATTTTAGAAAGGTCTGGGGCCTGGAACCAAGGGGATACCACCTACCAGGGCAGCCAGGGAGGCCACCACAGCAGTGCTCCCCCTTTTTAACAGGGGAGTCCTACTGCTTCATCCATTCTCCCACACTAGTGCAAAGACCTCATTCTCCCTTTTGCCCCAGTCTGGACACCCAGCCATCCACTTAGATCCGGCTCCGTTCGGACTGCTCCCCAGTGGTTTCTTGCCTGAACCGCGGGGGTCCGTGCAGTCCTTAAAATTGGGGCTGGTCGTTTCGAGTGTCTCGTCTGCTGTGTTCTCAGGGTTTGGTTCTCCTGGCGGTTTACGTTCGGGGGGTGTCCAATGTCCAGCCGGACGGAGAAAATGTGTAAAATTCTACATAAACAGTTCCAAAGTGTGTTTGTGCAAAATAAAATTTTCAGAGAACCAGACACAATATAGACTTAAGAGCATAATGTAAAAAAAAAAAAAAACTGCTTAACCCTTAAACTGCTAAGGGCTTTTTGGCCTGCAACACCGCCAGGCGCAACATAAAAAAAATCTTTATTTACTGATAATTTCTAACAAATAATACTGTGCCCTGTAATGGGAGGGAAATAAATACAAGTACATCAGGTAAAATATGAATGCAAGATGCTGAAAAGATTTTATTTACAAATATGGCTGAGCTATATCTTGTTATGAAACCATAAATCTCTTGCAGCTCTTCTATATAGTATTATTATAAATAATTTTGTAAAGAAGACAACTTTCAAAAGATAGTTAAGGAAAGTCATCTTTACTTTACAGAAATTTGTAGAGAAAAAGTTAATTTAACTACTGTATATTAACAAAGTGTCGTAGTGGAATATTATTGCATTAGAATATCTTTTTTTGTTTCATAAAAATTAATAGATAATTACAAAAACGAAAAATATTAACACTAAACTTAAAGAACTCAAGGAACATACAAGTCAAATGTAATGAAGCACAAGAGTACAACACAAAAGTTGATGTAGCAGTTTTAAAAGCTAAATTGTTTCCCTTTTAGGTTTGTGACATGTAAGTGAATTGTTGACCATCTACAGATTCCATTATGACCTGACTCTCACTGAGCATAATAACTCCCTGATCTACTCCTGGTTGGACAACTACCATGTGCTGCCCGGCTACGTCTCCTCCTTCCTCCAGTCCAGTCATGCCGTCGGCCACCACCACCACGTGACCTTCTCCGTCGCCCATTTCATACACCGACCCACCGGGATCCTCTATTACCTGAAAATGTAACAATATCGATATTTTTCAAACATTAAAATAGTGTCTATTTTCAGTGTTCTTCTGATATTCAATGATAAAACTAATTAAAGATATATTCGGCTAAGTTTTATTATTTTATTATTTGATAAGAATAAATATTATCATTATCTTGCTCTCAACCCTTGAGGAGAGAAGAAACAGAGGGAATATGATCACTACTTAAAAGATCCCAAATAGGAATAAACAGTGTATATAAAGGAAGCCTATTTAAATTAAAGGAAGGTAGGTTGGGGACATTGGTGGAAGTTGCACATGCAATTTAGTTGCAGAAATTTAAAGAAGTTTTTGTTCCCTGCAGAGTGGTTGCCAAGTAGAATGTATTATAGGAAGAGGTTGTTGAAGCTAATTCCATCTACAACTTTAAGAAAAATACCAAGAAAACTTTAATGTTGAGAGGTAATGAACATGCCAGGTATAAAGTTAGGAGACAAGGCACAAACAGTTAGATCTCGCCTCCCCATATTCACTGATAGGTAAGCATTTGCTTACCTAGTTAAGGGAAGCCTGGGGATTTAGGAGCTGCCTAAAATCAAGGAAAACCCTGCTAGAAAGCATAGGTTCTTTTTGGCATAATAAGGAAAGGGGCTAAAAACCTGGACCCCCCCTCCCCCCCTCTCAGAGGTACTTGGAGCGAGTGACAATTTGCCACCCTACTGGGAAAAGCTTCGCGGGCAACTAGAAGGTTAGCAGAAAACGAAGTCTCAAATATGGCAAACACTTCTGCAAACGACTCTCACAGAATAAGGGAATAACTCACACCAGCTCAAAACTCATTAGTACTGGTGACCACCACAGGCAATCTGGCCCCAGATTGGCTTCAGCTGATATATTAGTGGACATTTCTACCAGTAGTGCTCTGGTTTGCCAGTCATAGCCAAGACCCACAGCTTCAAGCTAAGTACCAGCCATCGTTAGACTTGGTTTATCCTGCCGGAGCCATTTGTTTGCATTCATTTCCTTTTTACTAGTGCATGTTGTGCTTCTGGCTTGTTGTGTGGACTTGTGTTGTGCTTCAGGCTCTACGTGCTCAGGGCTTTCTTCCCTGGGTGCCTGATAGCCCTACCCTTGCACACGTTTCCTTCCTCAGGTGTTTTGGGGAATTTACCCATGAGAAGTCAAGCCACTGGGGTGGAGAGCCCCGCCTTGGGCTAATCACGGGTCTGTGACTTCTCCGAACGGCCCCTTGGGTGGGGGAGCAGTAGGGTACTTGTGCTTGTTTATATGATGCACCAGTCACCATTCATAACCTGTTTTTTTGCTGCATTTGGTAGCTGTTCTTGTTGCAGGCAGACCCAGTGCCTGGGGGCTTCTGCTTGGTAAGCTACCTTCAGGCCCTGGTAATCCCCTCATCGAGTGGGAGCTTCACCTGTGTTCATCGTCTTTTCTACATGACAACGATCATTCTGGGTCTGGTCCCCAATAGCCCAAACAGAAATTTAATATGGAGCAATCACAGCAAGATAGCTTGAGGGAGCCACCTGAGGGGTAGATCTCCCTCTGAAAGGGGCAAATTTATGGAAATCCATACATCAGGCAAATACGTATCAGGTTTGGAATGTTTTGTTTTGAAGGTTAGAGGTTCACCTGTGTTCTCCATACTATGAGGCAGCAAATATGGCCATATGGCCAAGGACAATATTGTCAGATGATATCTGTCATCAAGGAGTCTTGACACTTTCCTGCAGTGAAATTTCACATCTATTCTGTATGTAAAACAGTTTAGTAAAGTAGATGAAAGTAAAGAAAAAACCAGCGTTGAATGTAATGAAATGCCATTTTTTGGGTGAGCCCCGGAGGTACCCTGAAGCAATCGGGCTAATATGTGACATAACAGACTAGGGTATTAGTCAATGGAGTTCAACCTACCGGGGACCAGGAGCAAGAACCTGCCTCCCCCCCCCCTCCCAGAGTGGTACAAAGAGCAAGGGCCCTTGGAAAACCTCCCTGAGGGTTGGGGGAATTCCTTACTGCCATTGACCGGGGTAGGCAACCAGAAAGGTAGGCATAACAAAGCACACCCCATTTGGTAAGAAAACTGCAACCGAAGATTGAACAGAGAGGCAGAACTCCCTCTAATTCCCAAGGAAACAAGCAAACGTCACACACTGCCGTCGTGTCGATTGTCCGCGCAGCCTTTCCTTTCACAGGAGGGGGAGGGGAGGAGCCCCAGACCCTCCGCACCCACTACTAAACCCCAGTTCGGAAACTAAGCATCAAAAGCAAAATAAAACCACCGACCGGAGGTAGGGACGGTGCCAGAGGCTGCATCAAATGACAGCCCTGAAAAAGCCAAAAAAGAAAGGATAAAACAACCTGAAAAGAAATAGAAGACAACCTACAAAGAGACATAAAATGGCAAAAAAAACACCAGGAAACATTATACTGTCGCCAAGACGGAGCGCTCAGTTGGAACACCATAAACGAAGCCTCCTGATCACCATACAAGTGGCAATAAACCTGCATCAAAAGGACCAGAAAAAGAGCGGAAGAGTAGACCGAACCAGCCATGTACCAGACCGGTCAGGTCTGCTGAAAGAGACGGAGCTGCGGAAAATGCCCTGGGTTCTGACACCGAGCAAGCAGCGCCTGAAACCAAGGCTGGGCCAGCCATCATGGGGCCACTACGACAACTCTCCCGCGGTAGGACTCCAACTGAGCCAGAACTCGAAGCAACAGCTGGACTGGAGGAAAGAGATACAGGTCACCCCGCCTCAACCAGTCCTGCCAAAACGCTTCGCAGTCAGGGAAGAGGTCTACATCTGGGAGCCCGTACGTCAAGCAGAGCTAACTGAAGGAGTCGGCGTCAACCATCTATTCTGTGGACAGGGGAAATGAACTGGGACAGGCCACATGGAGACTTTCCGGATATGAACCCCCACGAAGAGCCAAACCCTGAGAAACCAGCAGATGAACCACACAAAGCGACCAGCTCCAAAGAGCCAAGGACCGAAGAGGACTCCTGCAGTTCAGACAATGAACCACCGGACAGCAGTCCGAACGGAAATGGATTGTTGCTCCCCGAGTGACCCCAAATCCTCCGAAGCAACAGCCAAATCACAGCAAACTCCCGCACCGTGCTGTGAGCCCGAAAAAAGGATGGACCCCACCGTCCATGGCCGGCCTGGTAAGCACTGGTCACAAAGTCCCAGCCGAGAGATGACACATTCGAGAACACAGAGCGAGAGGCCGAACCCAGCGACTCGCACTCAGGTAGTCCCAGGCAGGGTGCTGCAAACCGGCGCCCAAAACTACCAAGCGAACTTCTATAGCTGAACCCCAGGGACGTGTACACTCACGGGGACCTAGCAGGGGGCACCACCGAGGAGAACAGTGGAAGGGCAAAAACAAACTGAATAAAATGACAGAACCCCCCACCAGGCAAAAACAAAAAGAAACAAAACCCCACAAGAGGACAGCGAACCCCAAGGAACAGAGCCGGCCGCGATGTCGGGAATACAAGCTGTGCAGCACCCTGCGCCCCTACCAGTGCAAACTGCCTCTTACCTGCCGGTAACAAGGGAGAACAGAACACCCAAGAGCCCAACAGGCGGCCGAAAAACCGAAAGGTAAAACGGACCAGCAGAGGCAGACCCCGAGGAGCCTGTGGAAGGTGGCCCCCAAGCCCCAAGGGCAGTACTTACAGGGCACCTAGGGAAGGCAGCCCTAGGCGCATGCAGCCCGAGTACTGAAGATAACTCCTGGCTCTCGCACCCACAAAACAAACACCACACGCAAAGCACAGTGCAGTAGCGACACCGGAGCCAGAGCACACGACCATCGCCTATAGCATCAGCCTCAAGAACTGGAGGTGTGGGTAGCCGGCGTGGAGAGTCTGGGGCTCCCCCTTCCCCCTCCCGGGAAGGGGGGAGCTACGCAGACAGCGGCACGGCGGCGTGTGACATCACACTAGTTTGCTTGTTTTCTGTTGGGGAGTTCTATCCACTAGTTCGGCTTTTGGTAGCATTTTTAGCCAGAATAGGGGTTTGTTTTGAGGCGCTTACCTTTCTGGGTGCCTGTTCCGGTCGATGGCAGACATAGAATGCTTCCAACCACACGGGGATTCTATAGGCCATTGCTCCCCTTGCCTCTCTGAGGGGGCCCGGTTCTGGCCGTGGTCCCCGGTAGGCCTAAGAACTCCATACACATGACTGATGCCAAAGTCTGAACATTAGCATATCAGCCTGGGATAGCTCCGGGGAGCCGACGGGGCTCCCCCCAGAAAGAATATTATGCGAGGAGCCTATGCCACACTTTCTAACTTCAGAATTGCTTTTAAATACATGGATGGCTGATTTTATCAGTGTGTGTGTGCAATTATGCAAGTGTAATTACCTAAGTGTAGTTACAGGATGAGAGCTACGCTTGTGGTGTCCCGTCTTCCCAGCACTCTGTCATATAACGCTTTGAAACTACTGATGGTCTTGGCCTCCACCACCTTCTTACCTAACTTGTTCCAACCATCTACCACTCTGTTTGCGAAAATATATATACAGTGGTACCTCCCATAACGAATTTAATCCGTTCCATGTTCGTCATGTGAAACGGACGTCATACAAAACGAGTGTCCCCCATGTAACCAGTGTGATGCACTGTGTTTATTGTGAAATTTCCCTAGTGTGCATGACATCAAATGTTCCCCAAAATATAATTTTTCTTTGTAAAATGATAAATTACCGTCCCTGAACATGTCTATGTAAAAATAATTACCAAATTCCACTTACTTTGGCTGTGAGGGCGTGGACAAGGTGCGCGGTGACGTCATCAGGGGCTGGTCGCCCGTGTGTGAAGCTCCCAGACACGGTCGCGCAGGCCATTCAAGCACCACGTGTTGCCACAAATATATTTTCAAATATTTTTCCTATGCATTTCCAATGCGGTTTTATTTGTTTCTTTTATCGTATATGATGCATATTTGTGACCTTTACAATATGTATACAGTAGAATGTTCATAATTTTCCATGAAACTGTGATACATGTGTCAGTAATGTGTCCACAATAAATGTTTATTGTCACAATATTACGTGGTAAAAATGCACTAATATTACAATATGTACAGTTTCACATACTATTTACACAGTAACACACTGTATTACACACTCAGTACTTTGGAGGTGCGTAATAGTCAACGAAGTAGTCCATGGTACACAGCGCGACTTTGCTCTCCTTGCACCAGCTACAGATAGATTTTTGTTTCCTGTTTCATCGTTCTGTGTGCTTGCAAATAATGCACTCGCGTGCACCCTTGGCTTTAGTACTTGTAGGTGGTATGTAGCCAAGCTTGTAAAGCATAAAGTAGTATTGAAACGATTATAGGAAAAGCTCAATTTGTAAGATAGTCTTGAAAAGATCGCTTTGTAAGGTCCCACACAGGAAGAGATTCAGCTAGCCTCAAAGAGTGTCCATCAGTCAGGAAGAGATTCAGCTAGCCTCAAAGAGTGTCCATCAGTCAGGAAAAGATTCAGGTATTCTTAAAAATATCAATGAACACCACCACCATGGAAGCCGCTAACACTGTTCATCTATGCTACTTGTATCAGATGCATCATCACTGAACGCAGAAAACGATTCATCTATGTATCATCTATATATATTAGAGATGGCAAGGGTGGGGCTCAGAGCTACACCTGGATACGCTCGCTGTATCATCCTCATAGGTGCTGTATCACAGGCATCCGACCGTTGTGTTAAGCCTTTATTGCGCCTAGCTTCACCAATGTTATGACCCTTATGTTCTTCAAACAATAGGGTCTGAATTGCACTGACTGAGTACAGTCTTTCAACACCGTGTGGGACAGGTGTTTGAGAGCCAGAGGCATGTGTGCTACAAATGGTTGCTCACGCACTACTAACCCAGCCAGCAGCCCTTGTCTTTCATATTCGTTATAGCAAAAGGTTCGTTCAGTGTTTGTTGGGTAGGCTGCTCCATTATGACAATCTTTCTTTGTTTCAAATGTGTTCCATTTGTTTTGTATTTATCACTTACGTCTCAATAATGGAGCAGCCTACCCGACAAACACTGAACGAACCTTTATGACATTTGTCCATTTTTCAAATTGTTTCAACAGTTTTTATTTTTCGTTTTTTTTTTTTTTTAAGAAACATGGAGCAGTCGACCTGTAGACCACCGAACGAACAATTTTGACATTTGTACTGGTTTTCAAAATTCTTCATATTTTTTATTATTTACGTTTTTTGTATGTAAGAAACATGGAGCAGCCTACTTGCCGACCACCGAACGAACCTTTTGCTATAAGACAAATGAAAAATAAATATTGAACACATTTGAAGAAAGGAAAATGTCATAATGGTTTATTCAGTGTATGTAAGGTAGGCTTCTCCATTATTGAGACGTAAATGACAAATAAAAAACAAATGGAACACATTTGAAACAAAGAAAGATTGTTATAATGGAGCAGCCTACCTGCCGAACACCGAACGAACTTTTTTGACATTTGTTGTATATCAGACATTTCATTTCTTGTTTCCTACAAAAACGTCAATGCTTTGCAACATCTCAGCAGTCACCCTTTTATATCCCAGCATCATTAGCATCTTTAAACAAGAACAACATAATTTATGTGCATCGTCGGAGGCGTCTAAGAATGTGCAAGAAGCAGCGCGACCCCACCATGTGGTGTTGACGTTACTCAAACCAGCGTTCGTCATACGGGACGATTTGACGCCGATCGGGCCGTTCGTTACCCAAAATATTCGTCTTTTGGGGCAATCGTTATGCGAGGTACCACTGTATATATATATATATATATATATATATATATATATATATATATATATATATATATATATATATATATATATATATGTCGTACCTAGTAGCCAGAACTCACTTCTCAGCCTACTATTCAAGGCCCGATTTGCCTAATAAGCCAAGTTTTCCTGAATTAATATATTTACTATAATTTTTTTCTTATGAAATGATAAAGCAACCCTTTTCTCTATGTATGAGGTCAATTTTTTTTATTGGAGTTAAAATTAACGTAGATATATGACCGAACCTAACCAACCCTACCTAACCTAACCTAACCTATATTTATAGGTAAGGTTAGGTTAGGTAGCCAAAAAAGCTAGGTTAGGTTAGGTTAGGTAGGTTAGGTAGACGAAAAAACATTAATTCATGAAAACTTGGCTTATTAGGCAAATCGGGCCTTGAATAGTAAGCTGAGAAGTGCGTTCTGGCTATTAGGTACGACATATATATATATATATATATATATATATATATATATATATATATATATATATATATATATATATATATATATATTTATTTAATGATTTTCTGTGTACAATATAATAGTAATGAAATAAACTGAGGTTGTAAATGACAAAGGTGTTAACATACAATGACCAACCTTGATGCAATACTTACATTTCGACACACTTGTACATCGAGCATCTGCAAAGAGTTAAACATGAATGAAAAATAGGTGCAAGTAATTCAAGTACATGAAACTTGTAGTTTTATGACATAATGCACACACCCAAACATCACAAGGATGGGAACTCATAAAAGAATTGTAATACTTCCCACAGAATCCTAGCATTTGTATATAGAGGGGAAGGGAGGGAGAAGGGAAGGGAGGAGGAGAAAGGAAAAAAAAAAAAAGTTACAATAGCCCAAAGCTTGAAGAGTATGACTTGCTACTGAAGATTATGCTAGAAAAAGTTGTCAACTTTTCCCCTCAATGACCATCAGTGGAAACAAGCCATTCTTCCAGTCAGGCTCGGCGGATGATGCGGAGAATGCAAGGATGTTTCTTAAGGATCTTGGTTCCAGGCTCATTAAAACTATAAGAGACCCTAGAGCAGCAAGTTCTCTTTTCCAGCGTCTCAAAGTAGCATTTCAGAGGGGAAATGCCCACTTCATCCTCGGTTCCTGCCCAGCATCGGAGGAGCTCAAAGAAATCTATAGTCCCATGGAAACAAAGTTTCCTTTATTTCCTCTTAATGTCCACGTTTTGTAACCAATCAGATATATAACTGTATAACCTTGTATAATAAAGTGTACAACATAAATAATAAAAAAAGGGGGTGGTAGGAGATGTGAATACTCATTTGTATTTAGAATTAAATAGCAAGTTTTTCAGAGAAAAACTTGCTATCTGGGTTGATTTTGATTTTACCTTCCTGTCGCAGTTTGCACAAGTCCTCATAGATAATTGCCAATTCAGCTTTTTGCATAGCTTGTCTGTACTTTGGGTAAAGATGGCTGTTTATACCAAGATTTAAAAACTACCAGAGCATCAATAAAGAGTTTCACTAGAAAGGTCGATAAAACTCTCAGATGGTTTAGGTTTAGCGAGGTTGCCACCATACAATCAAGAAAGCTTTTTGATTATTTTAGTCTTTCCTACTTGTCAATGTGTTTCGATAGCATTATCGAGAGCTACTGTACTGCGTCGCCGTAAGTCTTCGCTAATGTCCAGCGACGTATAGAGGTTATTCACTTCTTGTAGCTCTTCTTTTAATTTAAACAGCTATTCTTTCTTTTGACGTATCTGTTCTTTAGTCAGTTGTTTGCAGAGGTCCAGAGTCATCTGATGTTGCTGCACTACTTGATTGTGGAGTCATAATTAGTACATTATGGGGGCAGGTTTGCTCTAATACACATGTCATAAACACAATGGCATTGTGACATTATTAATTTTCTTTTGGACATTTTCCAAATTCCTGTTGGAATTGGAGTTGGAGTTGGAGTTGCAATTGGAATAATTCCCGTAGTCTCTCCTCGCAGCTCATGACCCTCAGTTTGGGTACTAGTTTGGTGGCAAACCTCTGAACTTTTTCCAGTTTAGTCTTATGCTTGACTAGATATGGACTCCATGCTGGAGTTGCATATTCCAGGATTGGTCTGACATATGTGGTATACAAAGTTCTGAATGATCCTTACACCAGTTTCTAAAGGCCAGTCTTATGTTGGCCATAAGACGGCTCATCTTTGAGAATAGGCTAAAAGAACTTAACTTCTCATCCTTAGAGAAGCGAAGAAACAGATGGGTAAAGGATCACTACATTCAACATACTATGGAGACTAGACAAGGTGGACAGGAGCAGGGTATTCAATTGATAAGAATTTTGACAAGGAATCCTATGTAAGAAAACTCTCATGCCCTGTGAGAGTAGTTGGCAAGTGGAATATATTGACAGCTGTCAGTCACTTTTATCAACTTGAAGATAAAATATGATAAAGAACTTGAACATTAAGAGATGCCATTAGCATACCAGGTATAACAGGTATAAGAGGGTAAGAGGCAAGACAAAAAGAACAACTGGTAAAGGTTCTTCACCGCCATAACCACTGATGAGCACCATTCTTACCCTCCACCTCCATTATAAGGTATGTTTCAACATTACATTCCACCATAAAATATTTTGCTATATTCATATATAACTCAATCACTAACTTTAGTAATTACTTCCTCTTACAAAGGATTTTTTTATTCTTAACCAACATATTAATGCAATTTCTCATACCCTAAAATAGTGGGTGTATGATAATCATTGCTAACCAGCACCATATAAATTTTAAGAGAAAATATACAATATATACAACAAGTTTCAATACAAACCTCTCCATCAGAAATATGAGCAACATGAGTGTAATGAGCATGATCTTGATCAGGACCCGGAGCATCTGTCACCACCTGCACACTGTTGCCATAGTCATGCCCACCCTCCTCAACACCCAGCAACGCTGCAGCATTAATGTTCTCTACACAATCACTTGATGTATCATCAGTACATGTCGTTGTTGTATGTTCTTTTGGCTGCCCACTCACCACCTGATAATATCAAGTTATTGTTAACTTAGACTAATTTGAATGATTAGATACTATACAGTAAATGCTAAACTCCACATTTATTAACACACACTGTAAGCAATCAATTGTGTAAAATATGAAATACACTAAATATTTTGTATTTTAACAAATTATAATCACAACTATCGCTCAAATAATAATTAACACAATCGCTCACCGGGCAGGCGCGCGGTCAACTTAGGGGTCATGCACCGAGTGTGCGGGCAAGCGTGTGGGTAAGCGCGCGGTGACACCTAAATGTGTATACTCGTTTCAGCTTTCTCACCTTAATTCTCGTGCTACGTCGCTCGTTTTGGTATCATTGCGTTCGCAATTAAATTCCCTACAGATGTGTATGAATATAATGTACAAAAGCCTTAAGTGCCTCCCCGCAGAAAAGCCTAAAGTTACCCGTGAACGAGCACCAATTTGTACACTGCAACCTAATGTGTATACTCGTTCAGTTTGATAACATCAAATTTCATGTTACGTCTTTCATTTTGGTATCAAATTGTTCGCAATAAAAAGGCGCGTATTTTAAAACTAGTCCCATAATAATAGAGCAACAACTGGAATTTAACAAATATTTTAATTCTGGACGCTCATCATCACAAAATTATTTATATCTTTCCGGTGTTCTGACATAAATTTTTGTGTTACATCTTTCATTTTGATATCAAATTGTTTGCGACCTAAAGGCGCGCATTTTAAAACTAGTCCCAAGCTAATAGGACAATAAATAGAATTTTA